AAAGCTTTATAAAACAGTAAAAGCAACTTAGTTCGTTAAAGGAAATGCATTAACAAACTCAACTTTCCTCATATAATAAAATAATATAGTTTATGTGGGAGATTGTCTAACCGACAATCACCACTATGAGCCTAAGCGGTGATACAACGTCTTGCCCACACTGCCAGAACTGTCCTATACTTTGCCGTCATATAGAACTCTTAATTTAGTGGATCCACTAGCTTAACTTATGTGATCATCTAAAAAGTATGACCCATTAATACCCATGATGTCTACATGGTTTATGGAGACTTGAGTTAATATGAACTCGCATCCCCATATCGGTGCTCAAAACTACTTCCAAAAATATACTTAGCTCATATGTTTTTTCAAAACACCTTGTTTCTTTGGTTTGAGATAATTACTCAAAACTTAGCTTAAAAGCTCTCTTGGAATCGATGTTCCCTTTTCTTGCTCAAATGTGAACATTTATAAACTCTTGGGGAATACTTAGTTCCCTAATAAGTTTTTGAGAAATGAACTCAACTTTTTACTCTTTGCTTAACTTGAAACTTAAGTCTTAAAACAAAGTTAAAACATTTGTAAAAGACCCTTGAAACTTTGATGACTTCACTTTACTTGACTCTTAACTTCCTTTGAATTGACTCTTAAATTTCCTTAAATTGAATTATGGATTCAAGCATTATGATTTGTGATAGGAAAAGTCTCTTGATGTTTAGGAATGATTTCGAACAGCTAAACTTGAGAAAAGTTACGAAATCACCGTCTTGGAACAAGTCCGCGACGCGGAGGTGTTCCCAAAATAATTATTTGCGAAATTAAAATTTGAGACAGTGGAGTCCGCATCCTCTCCGCGACGCGGTGCAGATTTTTGTTCACTGGGGGAACAAGTCCACGACGTGGACTTGTTTCATGAACCTTACTCAACTTTTTCCTTCTTCGTTTTTCAATCTCAAACCACCTAAATTCGATTATCTTCTTCAAATTCGTTTTAACTCCCGATGCCCAGCATGTATACTCAAGAAACTAACTCAAAGCAATCCTAAACTCAATGTAAGGATCTCATAAACTTCTCAATTCGTCCTACTTCGCTAACAACATTCGAATTCAAGAATATATGTCAAGAACATCAATTTTCCAACTTTTCTAGGACGAATCACACTGAATTAAACATACTTGGCACCTGGGTGGATTAACCCAACGCTATGAGAGACTCACATACCTTGTAGGATCAATTCCTTGGCGAATCCACAACCAAAATCGATCGTTCTTGGCGAATCTTTCTTTTCCTCTTCTCCTTTCTCCTGCGTTCTTTCTCCAAAAGCCCTAACTCTATTTTTCAAAAGCGTAAACTGAACTAACTCAGTTTTGACCCCACTTAATTTACTAAAACGGATTTAATTAATCTGGTGAGGAAAAGACCAAACTACCCTTCAAAAATCCGGGTTGGACATTTCCTAATCCTACAGCCCAACTTCCGAAAGGCATAACTTACTCATACGATATCGAAATCACGCAAAATCAGCGGCGTTGGAAAGATCATTCCAAGATATTTCCAACCATATCTGGAACTACACCTAAATCATCCTGAGCTAGGAGTTATGGTCGTTTGAAGTTGACCAAAAACTCACTTTAACGCACTTAAAATTTTCCAGATTCCCTTACACTTTCCAAAAATGACTATTTCCAGATTTTACACTTCTTTTCTAGTTATTTCAAATTGCCAGATGTTACAAAATCTGTCGGAAATACTCCAAAAATTCACTTACCACCGGAATAGACTCAAGCATAGGAGTCTCAACACTAGTATCTCAAATGTGCACAAAGTAAGGCAAACATCCTCTCCCTACCAAGTGATGAGCCTTAAGAAATGATATCACCCCTTTAGGAGGATGACTAAGAGAACCTCTCCATTCTACTATAGGAATTCCAAGCATAGCTAATGTAACTGTCTTGGAATGACAATTTAGAATTGCGTGATAAGAAGATAACCAATCCATACCAAGAATCACATCAAAATCTACCATATCTAAGACCTTTAAATCTGCATGAGTGTCATATCCCATCAAAGTAACTATACACAGTCGATACACCCGATCTGCCACTACAGAATCTCCAACAAGAGTAGAAACATGTACTGGCAAATCAAGATACTCACATAATATATACGGACTCGAAGCAAAGTATGTGGAAACATAAGAATAAATAGAGCCTGGATCAAATAATATAATAGTTGGTCGATCACAAACCGGAATAATACCTATGATAAGAACATCTGAAGTCTTAGCCTCTAGCCTACCTGGAAAAGTATAATAGTGAGAACGACTACCCTCAGATTGTGAACCTCTACGACCACCACCTCGACCAGAAGGAAAACTACCTTTACCTGAATGAGAACCACCTCTACAACTCTGTAAACCTCTCGTAGTTGGAGGTTGTGCAACCCTGAAAGTCGAAGCTTGAGAAACTTGATACGAGCCACCACGTCTGGTCATACGGCAATATCTCACAAAGTGTCCCATATCACCACACTAAAAACAACCCCTACGAGATGTAGGTGGATGAGAGGAACCTGAATGACCAGAATGCCCTCCACGGCCTACAGGTCTGGTATATGAACCCTGTGAAGTATGCACTGAACTCGAAGAACTATGCCCAGCGTAATCAGCCTCAAACGCTGGTATAACAACATGAATAGGTCTGCTAGGCTGAGTGTGCTAAACTCTCCCTAAGTACCTCGACTCCTAGCTGGAGCACCACCATAATAACCCGAATGATGGGCCCTCTTGCCCTTACGCTGCTCAAATCCCTCACGTCGAATTATCTCTAACTCCTTAGCAGCATCTACCATCTTCTGGAATGGAATACCAGAAGCAGCAACCTGAGAAACCCTAGACGATTTGGAATAACCATCCCCGTAACAAACCTCTTCACTCTCTCAGCCTATGTGGGAAGTATCATCGAAGCATTCCTAGCCAAGGCATGTAATTTACCTTCATACTCTGCGACTTACATACCACCTTGGTGCAAACCCTCAAACTCGGCCCTGTTCCGCCCCCTCTCACTACGTGGAACAAACTTGGCTAGAAATACCTGAGTAAACAGAGTCCATTATAGTGGAGGAGTTCCAGTTGGCCTAGTACTAATATAATCCCTCCACCACTATTTGGCAGAGCCAGTCATTGAAACTCTGTGTAATCAACTCCATGAGACTCCACTAATCCAAGATTATGCAACCTCTCATGACAACTAACTATACATTCATATGCATCCTTAGTTAAGTCACCAGTATAAGTCGGAGGATTCATCAATAAGAACCTCCCGAACATCTTTTGTTCATAAACAATCATGGAAGTCCTGTTTGCCAAATGTGATGCAATACCTTGAAATTCCATACTATCTAAACAGGGAGCTACAAGAGCAGCTGGCTGAGTCCTGGGAGTCTAAGAATCTGGAGCAACCATCAGATCTGGAGTCTGACCTCTAACACGGGTCTATGAGGCATCAGACGTGACATGCAAAGTTCCCGCCTGAGCCATCCCATCTAGAAGTCCTAACATACGAGCCAAGGTATCTTGAAGCACTGGGGTGGCAATAATACTGGGTGGAGCCTGAGCTGGTCCATCCCCCTCTACACGATCCTGCACATCCCCATGAATAACATCTGCATCAGGAGATACTGTACTATTATGTCCTTGGGTAACTATTGGTACTTGGACTTCCACGGGTGCTGCAATACGACCCCTACCCCAACCTCGATGTCGACCTCATACCTGCCTCTACCTCGGATAGTGCTCCACAAAGCATGCACACGTGTAAGCCCCAGATAACCACTTGCAGTTGTACGAGTCCTCACTATCTAAGAGAGAATGAGATATCAATATTAGAATTTCAACAAGGTCAAGTGTGCACTACAAGGAATGAAGGAATATAATTTTCCTAAATGCCCTATAGCCTCTCGAAGATAGGTATGGACGTCATCATACCAATCCGCAAGACTCTACAAGAAATTTCTCTTGTACTCGTGAGATCGATGAACTTAGGGCTCTGATACCAAATTGTCACGACACAAAATTTACAAGTCGTGATGGCACCTATGTTACCAACCGATAGGTAAGGCAACCCTATAATTTTACCAATTTAACTAAGTAAAGAGGTAACAGGTAAACAACGAATAAAATATCTCTAACACTAAGTCCTTCATAAACACGAAATACGGAAAGCAAAATATCACCCAAGAATTTGTGTCATAAGTACAAAAGCTTCTAATTATGGTGCAAGTCTGAAACTAAATTGACAAATCCAACATAAGGGATATCGTGTTTGAATACTAAAACAACAGAACAAATAAAAGATAGAGGGAGGTGTGGGCCTCGGAACAACCTAGTAGCTCACCACAACTCCAAGATACTCCAAGATCGGACTCAAAAATCTCCACGAGATATGCTCGTACTCAGAATCGAATGTGCACCACAAAGAGTGCAACAAGTGTAGCATGAGTACGAAACCACATGTCCCCAGTATATCTCATAGACCGACAATGAAGAAGTAGTGACAGAAGTTTGTATGAGAAAATCAGTTCTTTACTTATTCAAGTGTATATTATACTTACCAGTCAAGTTTCATCAATAAGGATAATCAAACTTTACGTAATGCACAACTACCAACAAAAGCACGTAATCAACAAGAATAAATGATGTAATGAGATGCAATGCAATGTGACACCATGAAATGAAATGTCTCAGATGCCAAGTACTCTCAACCGTATATACATGATACTCCTCAAAATTACATCAAGAGTTCATGACCCATGAGGGACTCGCGAGTTCCATATACCAACACGGACGATCTCCACGTGTCTGTGCGGACGATCTCAACGCACTATCATAAAATCAAACCATTTCCACACGGACGATCTCCACGTGCCCAAATTTTAATCTTAATATCTCACCATCCCAGCACGGACGATCTCCACATGCCCAACTTATACTCAATCTCATGTCAATGCGTATGCACAATATGATATCAATGAAAAGTGATGATGATGCATCTCAATCAAATATCAATATGATATGTAATCACCTCAGCTATCACAAGTATATGGGTTCAATAAAGAACACAATACGCATAATAAATCAGTCAGTCAATAATATATCAGCTAATGCCCATATGCTTTGGCATTCTCGAATTACAATTCACATTTTATAGGAATAAACTTTTCCTTTATAATATCGGTACTCGTACCAATGCCCGTCACACCATTGGTACGAGACCCCATTCTTTCGCCTTTACCCATTGTCTAGTCCATTTTTAATCTTTAATCAGTAAACATCCCTCAACGAAGTCTAAAAAGTCTGAACATACCTTAAATGTGGAACACGTGTCAGGAATTCTCAACATTTTTCCTTCCCCTTTCTAAAGCTTCCGAATATTTCCAATCTATCAAAATGTGCACAATTTATAAGTAGACGTGTCCATAGACACCCACATTACTATATGCTTATCCTAGACCTAAAATCTCTCCCAAATCTATAACCAAGTTCATAAATCTTGATGACACTAATATGTCAAATCTCATATTCTTAAATTTTAAGTCTAAGGTTAAGTCTAAATTCATCCAAAATATCATAGAGCTAATAGTATTCATATAATATAATATACCTCATATTTTTAAGTAAAAGGATTCACAAGACATCCCATTATATATCTCAAATATTTCACTATTTTTGTACCGAAGTAGTTGCCATTCAAATTATAATACTAAAAGTAACAATGGATCCAGAAACAACAGTGATTGAAAAATAGCCTTACCTCTATTTACCCTAGCCATTCTTGGCATAAACACTTTTTAAAAAATGTATTAAAGTATACTCCTAAAACCGTTGGACCATCTCACACCTAGATTAACCGTAAAATCCACTTTGGAGCAATTAACTTATTTACAATATTTTAATCCACATGCACTATCCCACTCAAATGATCACCATAGTAATTATCTTCTAACGAATAACCATTATTCAATGTATAAAGATTCTCTTTTAAAGTCAAAAAGAGTTTCACAGAAATCGATAAATTCCAATTAAATTAGCATTCCAATTCTTTACCATTAAATAGTAGTACATTAAAGTATACCCAGTAACCCACTATTCATAACTCATTCCATTTAAACCAAAGATTAAGATAAATAAGGCTTAATAATACCTGAAGCAGTAAATTGAGTGTTGTCGACGTTGAGATCAAGTTCTCTCTGAGAAATTTCAACCGCAATTTGTTGACTTATGTGTAAAAGAACAATAAATCCCTTTTTAGTTAATTTAATTGTACACATGGGCCAAGTGGTAAAAAGGTATCAATTTTTTTTTATGGACTTGGCCCATTAACTATTCAACTATATTAATTCTTTATTATTTAACGAAAAATTATCAACTAAATATTCGTAGTCGCAGAATAGTTTAAAATTTCCATTCAAATTTTACGGGAAGAGTCAAAATAGTCGTAGTGTTCAAAACAACCTAACGAGTCGTTACAATGTTTCTCCTTTATATATATAGATAGATTTATGAAAGTAAAAGGTGTATATTAAATTAATAAGAATAAAGAAAATTATAACGGTAAGCTTGTAATTAATATTAATTAAAGGAAAAAGGGTCAAAAATGCCCTTAAACTATGCGAAAGGAACAAAAATGCCCTTCGTTTGTAGTTTGGTCTAAAAATGCCCTTGCCGTCAATACTTTCGTCCAAAAATTCCCTTATTCTTATTTAATTTGTTAAGAATGCTCATTTTCAAAATAAATATATTATTTATTTTATTTTTAACACCTTATTTTTTCTAGTAATATTTTTTAAAATTAGGAAATGCGTATCTTACTTCAATTCAGAAAAAAAAATAAAAAATGAAAATATTTCTTATTTTTTATAATTATTTTTTATCGTTATATAAATACAAAGTAATGATGGATATATTATGATATTTTATATATGACGTATATTATATGTCGAAAAGGATACCTGAAATTATTCTAGTTTAATTGATAAAATGAGATTAAGAAGAAAAAAACATTTCTTACATTTTTATTTGTTGAAGTGATTTTAAAATAAAGAAAACAAGAACATGGTTCTTTAATAATATTTTAATTAGGAAGAATATGTGTTTAAAAAGGAAAAAAATAATATATTTCTTAAGAAAAAGGCATTTTTGACCCATTTAGTAACTATAAGGGCATTTCTGGACCAAAGTATCGACTGCGAGAACATTTTAAAACCAAAATATTGACGATAAGGGCATTTTTGGACCAACTAGAAATGAAGACATTTTTTTCCTTTCACATAGTTTAAAGGCATTTTTGACCCATTTCCCTTAATTAAATAAGAAAAAAACGTGACTTTTATGACTTGTTGTGATGTAGTTGAATTAAGATAGAAGTCTTATTTTTTTTAGTGTGAATGGTGTTAAGACTGTGTTAGAGATCTGATTCATTCAGACCTATTCAGACCCATTAAGAGGCTTATAAGGAAATAAAA